TAAAGTCCAGATTATCATTATAAAACAATATAAGACGATTATATGAATAGCATACTCTCTCAAACCAAATATAACAACTAAACTATATAAAAATAATAAGAAAATGATATGACATATCTTTCGTGTTCTCGAATGATGCATTAAACCAAGTGCCATGAAAAATGATAAAATCCATATTTTAATTAATTTCAAATCCATTTTAATATCAACAATAATCTACTAATCTATTTAAAATAATGTAATTCAATAATTCTTAAAAATTAAAATTAAAAGTTTACAGAAGATATTCATCTTACATGGTAGTATACGTTTCTCTATTAAGTCAATACTTTTTTTTTGCAACGATGATAAAATAACCTGTAAAATGCTTGTGTAGTCGTTCTTATCGATAACGAAAAAAATTTGCCTGTTCTATGTAGAACAAAGAATAACACAATCTTCTGACAGTTTTGAAAGTTGGTTTTTATCGTCATTGTAGAACATAATAACACAATGGTGTAAGATATAATGCTCAAAATTTAAAATTCGAGCACTGATTTTTTACTTAGCTCGATGCAGCTCAACAAGTTAAACCAGAATATATATTTAGTAAGCCTAGAAAAAAACTACGGTTTTTAGAGCACTCATATTCTCAAAATGTTTAAACAAACAGAAGATAGAAATTAATTAAAACACCATGTTTATGAAAAATGTATCTCTCAATAAAACTAAATTAATAGTTTTCAATTTATATCAAAACAGCTCAAATACAAAAATTATGACATCGTATTGATTATAAAACGTTCGTTGAAAGAAGTAGAACATTATATCTTGGATTGCATAGCTTTAAGATCAGCCAAAAGATCTTGTGAAGTTTCTTCACCCTTTTCGGCGCGCTTCTCGAATGTCTCCATATGTTTTGCTAGCCATTCAAATTCCTGTCCCGCTGCAGGAAGTAAGATGCCATCTTCAGCAGCATTTTCCGATTTCACCTCATTCAGAGCTACAAGGTGGCAACGTTCGCCTACAATTGTGAACCATGCGTCATTGATCTGATTGATTAAGGATTCCTTTTCTGCTGCTGACCGATCAGCTCGAATGTTACCGACAATTCGTGATTTATGTCGAAGTTTGTTGTTGACAAATTCAACCTATTTTTTAAAGAAACAAAAAGATACAGTAGAAATGATTTGCATGTCGATTTACATTATCATCAGTAGTGTGAAACACAACATTGACAAAGCTGGGTAAAGCACCAGTTACATCACAATGAATACGTGTGATTTCTTTGCACACTTTTTCCTTTTGTTTCATATTAAGTAATGCTGCTGGATGTTCGATGATATATAGAGGCATGATAAACTGATACTAAACTGAAGATAGAACAACTGACAAGTGAAACGATTGTTGTTATATTTCTGCATTTTTTTAAATATTTGTTTTCTTTTTCTATATTATCATGCTCGTTCTTATCTATACACATCATACAGAGCTAGGCAAGTACGGACTTTCTCGAGTACGAGTACGAGTACGTACGAGCAAAATCGTACTCGAGTACTTTGTCCAGCTCTGGCGCCACAGTTTTTGATGATTTCAACTCTGATAGAGTGCGGGTATGGTGTTGATAATGTTATTTGATTTTTATCACAGATAAAAGAATAAATTCTTTTCTTTTGAATACTTTCCATGAAAACTAATTAAAAAAGTTCTTAAAATGAATGTCATTACCCGAGTATTAGTTCTCTAATTTCAACGTATAAGTGTCATTCAATTCAAGTTATTTCTTTTACATATTTTCAAACTATTGAATAAATAAAGAAATAGAAAAAAAATGATAATTTGCGAAGTTTTATTAACTTCGTATTTTACAAGAATAAAAGTAGTAAAAATCATATTTATGTATCAGATGTCCATAGCGACTGAAAATCAGCCGCTACTGTGATGTTATGAATAATGTAGTCTATAGATCTTCCTTTTTTATTGGTTGAACGCTGCAATACGTATACAAATGTGCTGAGAGAAGGAGACTCTTTTGAATCGGAAACATTTATAATATTTGTGATAAAAATAAAAATAAAACTTTCCAAAAACTCAACCACTGCCGCATGAACGTCTCGGTGACGTATGGATTACGATATAAATACTTTCTGAAATCTAAGCATCTTCATATATCACACGTCATTTTTTCAGTTGAATGATAAAAAAAAGCGTTGAATTTGTTAATTTGCGAATCAAGTACAGGATTCATCTTCATATAAATAGACTATTCTTCACCGAATGTAATAAAAAGAATCCATGTCGAAATATTGATATAATTAAGTAATAGAAATTTGATATAGTATTTGGAAAAAATTGAATTATTTATATTATTGTTGCTACAACCACATTTGGTTGTCTATTTATTCTTTTCATTATTGATATTCGAACTGGATCAGTAAATTTAAATAAAGCAATCATAACAAATACTAATGATATTTCAATAAATGTCAAAGCAATACGAAAATGATATTTTGGTGGTGAAGTAAAATATCCCATGAACACAAATATTGTATAAGGTATACCAAGTATTAAGAAAATTGATATAAGTATAACAATTCGAAAAACCATTTTCAGCTCTTTCTTTGCACGTAATAATCTATTTACTAATGTAACCCGTTTATTCATTTCTTTGACATATCGAATTAATTTCAAATAAATAAATACAATACCATTTATTGGTATTATATAAACAAAAAGTGGATTATAAACTGTTAAGAAAGAAAGATGCAGTGGTAGTTGACATATTTGATCATCAACAGAATATTTGATCGCATTAGTAGCTATTTGTGGACATGCATAAATAAAAGCAGCGATCCATGTTAAAATAATGAGCAAAAATTGAAATTTTGCTGATTGCCAAAATAAACGAGTTGGATAAATAACTATTAAATAACTATGAATCGCTTGTAAGAAATAAGAATACATTGTTGCAAAACAAGTAACATAACCCATATAACCTCGAAAGTTACAAAATAAATCTTGATAATAAATTTGTTGAAGATCATTATAAAGTGTAAAAATTGTCACCCAAAATAAAATAAGCGTTAATGAAAAACCAGAAAAACATGAATTAGTAATAAGTATCATAGGAACAGTATGACATGTTTTATCGGTTAAAACAATACATAAAAATAATAATGACATTAAAATGGCTAGAATAATACATATAAGTGCTAGAATATCGACAAGAATAAACCATGATTGGTTAATTATGATTGAAGTATTAGAATCTTTTAATAGAGAAACAAGAAAAGTTGTTGTGTTCATCTATGAAATGATGAAAAAGAAAGGAAGAAAAATGTATATATATAACGAGAAATTATCGATGCGCAAGATTTTTTTTTAAATTAACAATTATTTTAGTTTAGATATTACGCATAATGAAAAACAGACTTTTTTGTTGCTGAATAATATAAATCTAATATTATCTGCAAGTGGAAAACTTTGTTGTATATATTTATAGAAGATTGCATTTTATTTAAAAAAAAGAATAGGAATTATGTTTTGGAGAGAAAATGTACCCAAGTCTTGTCAATGAAAAATCCAAGTTTGCATAGTAGTATATCATTTTAAATAAGAAGCAAGGTAATGTATAATGTGAAATTCGTTGTTGACTGTCTGGTCATCGGTAATTACTAATTAGAAACATTCTGATCGACTAGAACTAAATAATTGCAGATTCATTATCTTCTTTCATGCTTTCTTTCCATAGATATATCTATAAGATTCATAAAATATATTTTGATTGATCTTTATTACATTTTTTATTAAATATACGCATATTTCAGATAAAAGATTTTAGTTACAAATCAAGGAAAACAATATACTTAATAGTATGCATGTCGATACAGTTCTTTTACTAAAACATTCCTTTCATACCTAATCAGTTTCTAACAATTTTTCGAAATAATTTGAAATATTCTAATACTCAGTTATACATAGAAAGCATATAGTTTATTAGGAAAATCACTCTTGACATGCACAACATCAAATACTCATAATCAAAAACAAAAAACTTCAGTAAATTCAGTTATATGAGAATAAAATGATTTTTCATAAAAATTCAAAATATAGTATGAACCTTAGAAGAAAAAAAAAAGATTTGTCTGTTAAATTGTTACAAATTAGCTGATTGTTTTGCTCGTTGCCCACATAAAATCAAATAGGCAATGCAGAGTTAGTATCGCCAGTTGAATAAATAAAATGATTATAGAATTTGTAGTAGGTTTAGTTCATTGACTAGACAAAAAGCAAATGAATAATAAATACATTGAAAGCATTAGAAAGAGATTAATGAATAGATGAATAAAATGAAAACTTAATTGTTGATAAAAATCATAATGAAACAAAATGATAATACTAATAATTTTGAATTCAAATTACGAATTGCAAGTGAATGATTTGTTGATTGAGAGCTTGCAGCCATTGTTGATGATAATTTTGTTATTGTATTAGTTGAATTACTCTTTTGTGATGTTGTAACCGGTGTTGACATTGAAACTGTTGTTGAGGGTGTAACTATTGCTGACGTTGATACTGTTGTTGACGGTGTAACTACTGGTGATGTCGAAACTGTTGTTGATGGTGTAACTGTTGCTAACGATGAAACTGTTGCTAATACTGTAACTGAATTTGTGATTGATGTTGAAGCTGATAGTATAGTTGTTGGGTTATCTAATAGTGAAAAAGATAGATTATAATATTTATTTAAAAAACAGTTGATACATTAGAGAGAGAACAAATAACAATATGTTGTGTTTGATAGATATTTCATAATTGATATTTTTAAATAAGTCTTCTTAATAGTTTTATTTAAATATTATAAATATCTTTAATTATCGATCTTGCGTAATAGTATTCTAACATTTCTAAATAACTGTTTGATTATGATTTATTTATATATATGAATACTTTAAATTTTTCGATATAATAGCAAATATCCGAAATATTGTTGGAAAACAGAAAATGGATAATTTTCATTTGTGTTTCACGTTGATTACAATTTTACTTCTCTTTATTTTTGGGTGTCATTTAAGTGGTCCGTAGAATAATGAAACGGTCAGTAAAAAAAAATTCAAAAATCAGTAGAATTATTGAATGGTCAGTAAAGTAATGATTGATTAGTGAATTATTGAAATGATCAGTAAAATTATTGAAATGGTCCAGAGATGGGCAAGTCAAGTCACTTTT